AGCCGTGGGGCTTCTGGTGGCTCCTGGGAGTTGTAGTCTGAAAGCGTCCGCCTGGGCGAGAAAAGCCCGGGCTCCCGCGGTCGTTCTTAAAGCGCCTACTTCCCACCTCGGGGGCAGAGGGCGCTAGCGCCATGCTTGATTTTACAGGTTTTGAACTTGTCCATCTCGCCAAGTTCTTCAGACTTTCGTCTCTTCATTCATTAAATAAATATTTATTACTGAGCGCTTAGTTGCTTCCCAGTACTGTACTAAGCCCTGGGACATAAAACAGTGAATAAGAAGTAGACTAAAGTTAACGATGCTGTGTATTAAAGGCAAGGAACAAATATTTTCAGATAGTAATAGGGCTGTGATGTAGAGTATTAGGGGAAATACATTAGATTGGGGTCTTAATAAAAGCCTTCCCAAAAGGTGACCCTTTAGCTGAGAAGAAACTACCCAACTATCTGGGAGAGAGATAGATGTTCCAGGCAGAGGGAACGGCAAGTACAAAGGATTTCTTCCTTCCACCTTCCAATTGGATACAATGGCAGGAGCCTTCCAAAATGGTTTCCACCAATTCTGTCCTCACGACGTTGGCTCGTCTGACTTCCCCATCGCAAAATGTCGGTAACTACGGCACCAATACAGCGGAATCCTGACTCTCCCCCGTCTCCTTTCCAGTAGCCTCCGCCCGCCGGCACATTGCTTGCCCTTACTTGTCATGGCTACCGTCCAGCTTTGTGCCAGTAGTCTCGCGGGGGTTGCTGGGATTGGGATTTCCCCACATCCCATGTGCTCGGACTGGCGCTAAAAGTTTTAAGCTCAAAAGTCCAAAGCCACGGTCCTGGACACAGGTGTTCCCTGGGCCCCCGGGGTCACCCGGCTTCCGGCCTCGGAGCGTGCTTCCCAGGCCGGTGAGACGCTCCCCGAAGCTCAGGTAAGCTCTTGGCAGTGTGATAAGTCCTCTCTGAGTCCAGGAGCTCCCGACCCCGGGTATTTTCAGCGAGGGAGGTGGGGTGCCGGGGACCTGGCGATTTGGCCGGGGGTTCGGGGAAGAGGAGAAGCTTGGCTGGCGGCTATGTTGGCAGGTCGGGGTGTAGATAATGAGGATGTTGGGAACCTGAACACCTGGGCGGGGGAGTGGAACTTGGGGGAACTTTCCGCTGGCCTAAGGGGTTCTTCCCCACCCACCCATTCCAGGGCCGGGAGCGGGGAATCGTTAAGTAACACGGTCTGGAACTCCCGGCTCTAGATTTTATTTTTTTATTGTCTAAAGTTTTATATGTCTCCTTTTTCCCCGATTGACACCACCACCACCCCCAGCCCTTCCCACCTGGGGCATGCCCCCATTGCCCCAGTGTTTCTGTCCACTGTTTATGCTAATGTGCATGCATACCAGTCCTTTGGTTGCTCTCTAACCCCCCCTCCCCTCCCTTGCCATTTGTCTCTGGATCTATTCTTGTTCATCAAATTATGTTGCCGGCTCTAGATTTTAGAGCCCAGGGTGCCCTAGTGAAATCTCCGATTGCATTCTGAAATGATTATTCGGGGCGATCTGAGCGCCCACGCTGCTAAGGCAGGTCCCATAACTTCCGGACCTTTGTCCTCCCTGGAATAATTTTTCCAACCGGCTCTGCTAGACGAAGAAAATCCAATCAAATACTGTCAGTCGTGGAAGTGGGCAATGCGAAAGGAGAGGTTTGGCCGCGAAACGCGCGTTCTTTATCCGGGTCTGAGAGGCCCGGAAGCCCTGTTATTGTTTGGCTCTACTTGTACATGTCTGCCACTGGCAGGACCACTTCCGGTTTCTTCCTTGGGGCAGCTCATATTTACCCGATGGAAGGGAACGAGAAAGAGAGAAAATGCCTTTTAAACTCGTTCCGATGACCTGTGGAGGGAAGCCGATAACCCCCTCCTCTATTTTTTCTTTTTTCTTCCTGGACTACTTAATCACGGCTTGCAGGAGGACGGCGTGTCTTTGTTTTGATGCAGATCTCTACCCCTCCCCTCTCCGAATGGTGTGCTCCGCCCTGGGCGCCTACCGTCTGGGCGGGC